AAAAAACTAACTTACGAATATAAACTGTATGACATGACAATATACATTATTCAGAGTGATTAGTTTCAATACTGTATCTTACCATAAACAATCATATATAACAAAATTCCGACAAAAAAAAGAAAAATCGTAACCATCATCTCAAATTATATATATTATTCGAAAACTGGATAATATCATCTACTTCAATAATAGTAGCTCCGTTGGCAATGATATTTTATTGTTACAAAAAAAAAACAGAAATAGTTAATTTGGAAAGCAAGATTTTTTTTAAATATCTTTAACATTCTTAACCAACAGTATGAATAGTTATTGAATACATCTAAATTTTTCATTTAATGAAATCTATGGAAAAAAAAAGGACGAAAATATATATGAAAAATTTTTCAAGATTCGTCATTTACGTAGATAATAAGAATAATTGCATTGTTATTATATTACTAATAATAAACAGGTCAAGTGTTCTACATTTAAAGCCAATTATTTTGATTCAAACTTTCATTTCTTTATATAAATATGATTATGTTTAGAACACTAAATATTATTGAGTAGAAAAAAAAAAAAAAAACAATGCGTCAATATGTTTTGATTAGTGTAGACTAGGTAATTATAAAGAATCGAATAAACAAAGTAAATCAAAAAAAAAAAAATACAAAATATATAGTCGATTATATAATAATTTCTTTTGTTTATTTTTCGGTTGTATGAATACATTCATTTAGAAATTATGTTTTTATATCAATGTTCATTTTCCTTGTCAAAAAAAAAAAAAAAATAATAATAATAACAAAATAAAAACATCAGAAGAAATACTTAATGACGTCAAATTATCTATCAGACTAGACTCTTGATGCATATTTTTCTATGATGACATGATGTTTCTTCTATTTACGATTGATTGGTTGTCATCAAACGATGATAAGCATACGGATGAGTATGCGGTGTAATCGAGCGAATAACGATGAACTTGAACGATAATCATCGGCGCATTCCATTCAAACATGTTCTATAATGTGTATCATCATTCACATTATTGGAGTACATAATTAAACACATATATGATCATTCATCTTATCATATTCAGTTTTATCATAGATATATATTTCAATCAAATAAGAGATCAAACAATATAATACTTTAGGAATAAAGAATTTTCAAATATTGATGGATATGAAGTATCCATCAATCAAATTAATCTACTTACTAAAAAGAACAGACGAACAACTAAACAAAAGGCGTTTTTGCCCTTTTAATTGACTGGCAATATAAACAATCTTTTTTTGTATGTACTCATTCTTCTGTTTAGAGAGAAAACAATACATTTCTGTGTATATGGTTTAGTCTTTCGGAAGAACATATAGCTGTTATTCTTAATTGATTTGACAACAAGGCGTTGTCAATATAAAAGAGCCAACAAAAAAGAAAGAAGAAAAAAAGAAAATCACATTAGCCAATATTTGACACAAGGCATTGTATATCTACATCATTTTTTGACATATATATATATATATATAAATATATAAATAAATATATGTATATATATATATATAATATATATGTTTTGTTTATTCCTCATCTCATGAATGAACTAAAGCACCATGAACATAAAAAATAAAAAAAGAAAGAAAACGAAAAACAAAAACCCTTCTAAAAGAAGAGAATGAAAAAAAAAAACATACTGTTTACACAAGAAAAAAAAAAGAAGTAGAAGAAAAAATGGCTAGTGTTTTTTTTTCTGGCATAGGGAAAAGACAAAAAAAAAACGAAAAAAAAAAAAAAGAAAACGAAAGAAAGATAGGAAGACACATGAAAAACTAGTTGCAAAGTAGTGGTACACTACTATTACCATCTTGTTGTATTCGATGTAGTTCTTTAACAGCTACATCAACAAGAAGTTGAAAACCGGCAAGATCACCAGTAGTATTAGTACTTGTTGTTGATGAATCATTTGAACGAACATTACATATTTGTTGTTCACTTGATATTAAATTAATAACAGTTGGATCACGTAGAGGTTTTAATAGAACATGATGTCGTGTTATACAACAAGGTTCATTCGATAATGATGATGATGATGATTGTTTATTAAGAACATTAGAATTATTTGTTAGTATTAATGATGGTGATGAACTTCGTTCAACAAGAAGATTTATTTCTGTTGTTGTTGTTGTCGTTGTTGGTGTGGTTGTTATTGGTTCATTTGATGTATTTTCACCACTTGTCGAACACATAGCTGATAATGATGGTGATGAACGTTTTTGATCACGTGAAAAACGTCTTGATATAGTAAATTTTTTTGGATCAGTTCCTTCTTTTTTTAATAAATCAGGTAATATACGACGACGTGCATTAATAAACCAATTACAAACTTGATTTATTGATAAATCAGCACGATGAGATAAATTTGCTTTTTCATCATCTGTTGGATAGGCATTATAACGATGTTCATAAAGCCAATTTTTAAGTATACGAACCTATTGAGAACAAGAAAAAGAAGAATATAAAATTTTTAGAAAAGTAACAAGAAAAAAAGAAGTAATATTAATGGTTTCAAATAACATTTAGAAGAAGAAGAAGGAAAAAAAAAACCAAATGTTTTGTTTTATCTTACACTATCTTTTGGTAAATTAGCTCGTCGTTTTTTTAATTTAGATGAATTTGTTATTGATGACGATGATGAACTATCATGATCACAATCCGAATCTGTTTGTTCAATAGTATGATTTCGTTGTTTTTGTTGATGATTAGAATGAACCATAAGAGATGAACGATGTGGACTAACAATAACTTCAGATGAATGATGATAAATCGATGAAGGATAAAGAAGATCTTGATTATGTTGTTGTTGTTGTTGATGATGATGATTATTATAATTTATTGTCGATGATGGAGAAAGATTTGTCATTGTTTGATAATATGAAGAATCGTGTGAATGATCAATCATTGAATATTCTAAAAATAAAATGAATATTTTCATAATTTAAAGACGATATGAATGATATGTCGAGTGTAATGTACGATATAAAAAAAAAAAATGTCTTTCTTATCTTACACTATCTGAGAATGCATGTTGTGTGTGTGTGTGTGTGTGCGTGTCGTCTTTTCTTTTTTTGATTTCTATGCATGTTTTATTTTTAAGTCATAGTCGGGAATCAAATACAGATGGCTTAAGTCAGGACTAAGAACGTTTCATAATTACCATATGATTGTTTTATAATAGAAAAAAAAAAAAAAAAAGAACAATATTTTCTTAATGCTTATTTATTCTCACACTATATCAAAAAAAAAACTCAACTGATATAAAGAGTATAGTTAAAAAAAATGAAGATAAATTAAGGTGGTCTTATCAATTTTGTGTCGAAAGACAGATGTCATCTATTACGAACTTATTCCATTGCACATCTTTTTCTGATAGTTATAACGATAATAGGAAAGAAGAGAATACAAAAACCTTACTTGATTGTCATTAACCTATCCTTCCCTCGACTACTTTATTGTTATTGTTCACACACATCCATACACACGCATTCTCTTCTTCATATAATCGAAACAAGATAAGATATACGACGTCACCTTATTCAATACCGAAATGATTAATTTGATGAGTATGATATTGATCGGATGAGAAAATGAATCGACGAAAAATCACTGCTTTTCGTTGTGTGCACTCATTGATCAAATACATATCAACATATTGATACAAATTACAGTGTAGAAATGATCGAAAGATTATATTCAATTCCAAATTTAGATTAAAGTCTTAAGCGAGAGCTTTCAACGTTATTCTTCTCTTATAATAAATATTTCCTTTTTCTCTCTCTCTCTCTCTCTATCTATCTTTTTTCTATCCGTCTCTCAAAGAAGAAAAAAAAGGAATCTATCAACACTAATTAAGTCTGTGCATTCATATCAACACCTCAACAGCTGTTTACAGATATCAATCATCATAAAAAGAAGGAACTACTTGTTTCAATATCCATTTAGAGAGAAGAAAAAAAGAAATAACATAAGAGTTTGTCTTATGTATATCTTGTTGAAGAAAGACTGATCGATGAAAAAAAACTAAAATGAAGAACAGGAGATAATATTGATCGAAGGAAAACTCATATAAACACACATCAGAAAACGAACTATTGCTAGTTTTACTTTATTTTTTTTCGTTGCTAAAAATTAGTCAATCAGATTTTTTAAATTTTCTGCTGAGATGAAAGAAACATACAAATATACTCAATAGAAAATTCTCATTTTTTCGCTGAATAACAACCTGTCTTGCACGAAAAAAAGGAGAGAAAAAAAAACTTACGTTTTGTGTCTGTCTATTGTCAAATCTTGTTATCTACTACTGCATATCTCCTTCGTCTTTTTTCTCTTTTCTTTCTTTTTTCTGGAGTGCATATGCTTTCTCTCTTTTGACGTTTTATTGTTCTCCATCATTCTTTCTTTTTTTTCTTTTATTCACAGCGGTCTGAATTGGATTATGACTACCTTCTTTCATTTTATGATTTGAAAGTAAAAAAAAAAAAAGAAAGAAAAGAGAGGAAAAAATGGAATTTGTCACATCTCTACATTCTATCTAATTGAATCAATAAGAAGAAAGAGTTCGATGTTTTTAAATGCTCGAAGGAAATTAGCTAGAGTAAACAGCAACACACTTCAAATTCGATCTGTCCATGTGCATGCATGTATGTATACTAAGTAAGGTTTCTGACATATACATACACAACATATATACGTATAGAAGAGACTCAATACTCATTTGATCAGAGTGTGAAGAAGCGAAGACCGACAACAAAAGAATGTAAGTGTGTAATGGAATGTGACGAAGTAATACGAATATATTCACACACGACATCCTAGATTCAGATTTACGCATAGACATAGATAATACATGTCAAAACTGTCAAGTATTGCATATATATATATACACAATGTGATTACATGGACAACAATAGGACAAATGATATATACACAACAAACGCAAATAAATGAATGAACAAGTGGGACGAGAAAAAAAAGCACTGTTTTTTGTTTTATATATCTTTGCTTCTTTCGTACTTGAAAAGAAATTAATCGTAAATTGTTGTATCTTTTTTTATCAAGTCAAAATAAAACTAACAAACATTTTTCCGAATCAATTGTCTATCTCATTTATCATACATTGAATGAACCATATATATATATATATATATTGTTGATTCATTCGTTTGTATTAAAAACAATTATAATGAAGATGGTTACAACTGTTGTATAGAGCTATTTCTCTATGTATCTTTTCCCAAAGGCCTATTAACTATATTCAAATGTCAACGATTGTCATTTGATAGAAAATCGAAAGAAGACTATCCACTCATTATGTCACTAACAAAAAAGAAAAATAAACCTTTACTACCATCACAAGAGTAAATACATATATACCCTTGGGGTATGGTTCAACTGTTTCTGTCTTTTTTTTTTCTTCTTTTTTCGCATGAGAAAAAAAAAATGAAACGTCAATAGAAAAGAGAGCTCGAGGTAAAATACCATTTAACTTCAATTATACATAGATGTAATATGTTTTTTTTCTACCTATTTATGTGTATATATATATTTGATCAAATAGAAATTATTCACAGTCTTTAAGGTAGTTTATACATCATGTCAAGAGACTATTACTCTCTTTAAGCTAACAGCCTGTCATCATTCCCATATTGCTTATCTTCTTCCTACATAACAGAACTTCGCGTTTTCTTCTGCCTGTTTTGCGTACACATACACATCACTATAATTGATTTGGGCCAATGTTAATTCGCTTTTCATCAATAACAATTAGGAATAGTAGACGAGAGAAGAAGGAGAAGAAAAAAGAAGAAGAAGAAGAAAAGACTGAAAAAGATCGCATTCAATCAGCTGAGTTAAAAGAAGGCACCATCTCATCATCACAACTAATCGTACATCATTACTCCAATGAATGTCGAACAACGGCAAGCCCATTTTCTTCGTATTGTATTAACAGCTGTTTCCCTGCTTCTATCATAACGTACATCTATATATATTTATGATGATGAACTAGGCAGTTGCTCAATATTGTCGAGTATAGCTAACCAGTTGTCATCGTCCGATTGACGCATAAACTCGTGGCACACAGTAAATTTTCATTCGTTGACGTTTTCTCTCTTTCTTTTAGGCTTTTTTCTTCTGTCAACAAGCTCTCCTTCTCTCTTACTCTCTAATGTTTGCTCTTTGATTATATGACGGTAAGCCAAAGACAAGACGAAAAAAGAAGAAGAAGAAGAAATTCTGAAAACGTCAAAAACATATAAAGAACAGTTGACACTTTTTTGAAAGCTTAATAAAAAAAGAAAAGAAAAAAAAAAAACAAAACTGTTCGGACAACATATAATGTTATTTGATACTTATTTATTTCTATTCCTAAAACTGACAAATACTATTCAATATGTTAATAATAACAAAAACATCAAATATTTATTTCTTTGTTGATCATATTAATTAAATACAATCAATGACAAAGTCAAAAAATCAAATTTTTTTTCTTATTAATAGAAAAATAAATATAATAAAACATATGTTTTAAATTTAAGTAAAATGATATAAAAATTTTATAGAAACCCTACTCATCTAAGTAATTTAATTTATTCTTTATAAATATATATATATATACATGTATATATACTACTTACTCGTTATTTCTTTTGTTTTTTTTTTGTTCTTTCTCGTAATGCTCATCAATATGTATCCTCACGGATGTGATCTTTTATGCGCTACCACTAGTGATTACATTGACATCAAACAAGAGGGGAGGGCGAGAGGGAGAGACAAACAGACAACATTTTTATCATCGATAAAATATAGAGAGAAATACAAGAACAATACAAATCCATAATTCAGTGATGAATATCTTCTTTTACGTGGTCTTCTTCTTTTTTTGCCTCTCAATTATTTTTTCTTGCCTCCCACAAACTTACAGACACAATGACAATATCAGCATCACTGTGCACAACCTTAACCTACCATTATCAACGCTTCTAGCAGTAAGAAGCAAATCGGAAAAACATGTATCTTTCGGGCAGCGCGTCATCAGTTAAAATAACAACATACATACAAAGAACAAGAAGATATGTCAAATAGACAAGACAACGGACTGTCAAAGATGTGTGTATGTCAATATGAAGTATGATTGATAATTGCACAAATCGAAATCTCAGAGACGAGATTTGACATAAATGTGACAGCATGCATCGAATGTCAGATAGACAGACGGGAACAAAAGTTTTTTCTTTTTTTTTTTTTTTTTTTTAATGTTTTTTTGGATTCAACAACAATTATATGCCTTTAGACCAAATGGTATTGTCTCATTATCGGTAGCGGCTGCCGTTGCTATTCTTGCTCTGACAGCAGTCAAAATCCCACAGGGTATAACACGCAAAAAAAGAATTTTTCTATTGCTAAGTGATGGCTAACGTCACCCATCAAAAAGAAAAAAGTAAGACAATGGGGCTACTTTATACAGCTGTCATATCTCTATGTTTATATGTATAACCGTTCAAATACTTTGCCTACTGATTATGTCTTATCACAGAATGACGTTGTTGTTTTTTGTTGTTGTTGTTGTTCTTACAACGTACTCATATATGTAAAAAGTGACTGACGACAATAGGCGATGTTTCAAGATCGTCCAACAAATGTGTACGTATATGTTTTAGTTCTCAGCATGCGTAAATATCATGACCTATCTCATACATGGTCATTAGAAACCTCCTCCGTAGGTTTTTTTTTTCTTCTTCTTCTTCCTTTCATTTCCGAACTATCAAATTCTTGTTATCGACATGCTGTCAATTTTTAAAAAACTCAACTTACTTAAATTTTTGATATTGTCGTCTTTATTATTTCCTTGTCTGTTCCAAATCGATTGATGAGTAAAAATGTAAGTCTTATTAATCGTTGTCCATTTGAACATGCTAATAGTAAATGCTTATCTTTTTGACATGCGCGTGTGCGTATAAGGGATAGACAAAAGAGCGAAAATGAAATAGTGAAGTGTATGTGTGCCACAACACACGTCGACTAAAATCAAATGTATATATGACCAAACAGGCAACTATAAAAAAAAAACATACACACACACACAACACCGAGGGAGAATGATAGTGATGTGAGAGAGATAGTGACGTGGTGTAAAAGAAAAAGTAAAATGAAAGAAGGCGAAGACATGGAAATAGTGTTTGTGAGGGAGAGAGAGAGAGAAAAAAAGAGGAAAATAATAGATATTACGATAGCATACAAATATAGATGACACAGGAACACGCACGAGATCTATCTGTTTATATACAAAGTGATCGTTAGAGAGACAACTGTTCATTGACATTGATTTGATTATACAACAATAGATAAATCCAGGTCGTCAAGGACATTTATATAATTGTAGAAATTTCTTTGGCTTTTTTTCTTTTCAATTAATTAATAAAACAAAAAATTGAACAATTGACTAAAATTTTGAAAGAAATATTTTTCGTGTGTTTTTTTTTTTTAATAATTTGTTTCATAAGTTCTTGAGATAAGTATTATTTACATCGATTAGAAACCAATTTTTGATATAGAATTTCAAGAGACATATGATATATGAAATTCTATTTGATATAGATTATTGTTGATTGATACAAATTATTTTATATATGTTTTCAATTGACTTTAATTATATCAAGATGTATGTTTTAATGTTCGAATTGAGAGATAAATTAATTTTAAAATTCAATATTGTATTTGAAAATTTATGAATCAATAGAAGATCGTCTATAATCACTTGAATATTTATTTAGTTCGGTTGTTGATTATTTTATTAATTGAAATATTATTTCACATCATTTGAATTCATCAATAAGAATTTAAAATCGATATTGATCTGTAGACTAATTCACTCTTTAGTATTAATTCATTTCATAATTTGATAGTGTTTTTCTGTTTTTTTTTTTTTTATTCGTGCATTAATAACGATTATCATGATCAAAATTTTTAAGCAAACAAAATGTCAAATATTTAGTAAAAGATTAAAAATAGAAAAATAATTTGTCGTATTTACTATGTAATCTACTATTTTGAGCTTGTAATAGGCTCATAAAGAAGTTTTATCAAGACTATAAAAGACTAAAAGTATTCATTTTTTTTTCGTGAACATTTGAACTCGAATTATGACCGTTTTTACTGAATGAAGAATAAAAACTTTATTTTTGTTTTCATAAATTTTTATTTATTGAAAGAAATTTCATTATCTATTTTTATATGTAGTAATATAATTATATTTAAGATATATTATTCTAAAGAAATTAAATTGAATGTAGTTGTTTTTCGTGGTGATGGTGAACGATTAGGCATTAAAATAGAAGTTGAATCTAATAAAATATTAGAAAAAAAAAGTAAATTGTTTTTGTCTTATATTAGTTCTATAAATTTTACTTGGAACAAGAAATGATGTTGATATATCTTTTTTATGTATTGGTGGAAGTCGTACTAAAATAAAATACGAATGAATATTATTTTTAATAATATTATTTTAAATTGTTTGAATCATTTTACTTGGTTGTACATATAAGAAATTTTTTTCAATATAATCATTTTTTGATTCTAATTCTTCAAGTAACCAATAAGTAGTCTAAAAAAAAAAAGAAGAAGGAATATTTAAAAATATGTTAAATAATGAAAATATTTATTTTAACTAACCATATCACCTTTGCCCTATAGAAATGAATATTGAACAAAAAAGAAAGTGCACAAACAAAAATAATTTTAAATTTAATTCAATAGAATTCTCATACTTTAATATGTATTATTCCTCGTTTTTCAATAAGAAAACGACCAGTTTTATCAAGTAATTCTTTTGTATCATTTGTCATATGAATTTTATTTGCTTAAATATTATCAATAATTTCTAAATTTTTACAAAAAATTCAAATAATTTACCTTCACCATTAGATTCCATTCGTGATCTAAATAAATATTTTGTTTTTTTTCATAAATAATAAGACCCGTCCGCAAGAAAAAACTTACGCAGTATTTACAGTATCACCAAAAAGACAATATCTATATTTAAAATATAAAAATATTTAATTATAAGTTTAATCTATTTTTCTTTCTGCGCAGCATAATTTACACCTTGCCAAAATGTCCGTCACGATTTGTGGAGGAGTGCGAATGTAGGTCCAAATTTTTATCTCTATACTTCAGCACCTCATTTTAGATCTTATTTCATTAAAACTTGGACACATCGCCTCTATAGGCTGTGACAAACATTATCGATATATGATTACAGATTAGCGTCTCGATAAATAAAATAATCTCCCTGTGAGTAATAGCAGCAGGTGAATTGTGTTTCATGCTTTAATTCCATAGGAATTGTGCTAATAGGGTTTTTCTTTCTTACCGAGGCATTTTTGAACCAACAACACCAGCACATACAGGTCCTATATTAATTATAAGTATAATTCGTAAGTTTCAATATCATATTTTATTTACCGGAATGTAAACCAACTCGAATTCGAAGTTTTTCATTATTTGAATATGGTATAATGCAATTCATTGTTGATTGACGAATAAGTTCAAGTGCCATTGTTGCTATTTGATATGCATGTTCATTACCATTCTTTTTTGGTACACCGGAAACTACCATATCTAAAGAAATAACATCCCTATAAAAATAAAAAATTAATCTTCATTTAAATATAACTAACATGCATCTCCAATTGTTTCAACTTTATAAACATCATATTGATCAACAATTGTATCAAATGTTGTATAAACTCGATTAAGAAATTCAACAACATCAATAGGTTTGCATCGACTTGCAATAGTTGTAAAACCAACAATATCACTAAGAAAAGAAGAGAAAAAAAAAAGAAGTTTACAATCTAATTTTCATTAAGAAAAGAAGAATAAGTAAAGTCAATACCTAAAATATATCGTACAATTATCATAATATTCTGCACTAACAATTTGACCAATACGTAATTGTTCAGCAACAATTTTTGGTAACATACCTAGAATAATACTTTTATAAAGCATTTATATAATTAGAGACTAAGTATGCATAGTTTGCTAATCCTCGTTTAATCAACGTGCTAATCATTGACTCACATCTGAAATGATCATATCTTTATGAAATTGATTGAACAGATAGTGTTAATGAGTTCTAAACAATATTTTCACATAAACCAAATGAGAGATTGCTTATGATAATAATGAATCGTATGATAACGTGATTGAGTACATATAAAAAGTACAGTAAATAATTGAAAAAAAAAAAAGATGAACGTTGATGATAGAATTTTAAATACTAGATTTACTTGAATTTTAATATTATTTCATAATATGTTATTTTTTTCTTTTTAGACTTACTATATAAAAGATTTTCAGATTTATGTTTTTCTTGTTCAAGTTCATATGTTCTTAATTGTACGGCTTGTTCAAGACTTGTTTGATATAAAGACATTTTTTTAAATATTAAATCAATAGGGCTCATTTGTAATGGACACATTTTTTTTAAACTTTTTTCTATATCTTTACATGTTGGACGATCATATGGATTTTCCATAATACATCGTTTAACAAGTCGAGTATATGATGATGGTAAGGGACAAAAATCTTCTTCATTATGATTATTAACATCATGAGTCATTTGAGCAATTTTTGGACGATAACCTATTTTCATAATTGATTCAATATCATCGTCCTAACAAAAAGAGAAAAAAAAATAAATAGTCATAATTTAAGAGTAAAGAAAAATAAGTAATAATAACCCCAAATGGTTCCGATCGTGTTGCTATTTCATTTAAAATTATACCAAATGAATAAATATCTATTGGAGGAGTTAATTTTAATTCATTAATTGATATTAATTCTGGTGCATAATAAACTCTTTTATATATTTCAACTGATTGAACATAAGAATTAATACTTATATGATTAAAACGAAGATCATCAAGACCATAATCTAAAGCATAAATAAAATATTAGGATAATCGAAAGTTAGTTCTGAAACAGAGGCGTAGCCGGGGGGTCACGGTGTGTATCCACCCCTGCCCTAGGAAAATTTCTGGCTACGCATTTATGTGTGCTGTGTTGAGATAAGCTTGGAATGTTGATTCAAAATATCATATTATTTTTCACTATAATCGTAATTTTTTTATCGAAATCTACTAAATACAAGTAAAGAAAATCTCGAAGTCTTATATCTTGAGAATAATCTCCTTAGAATTCCATTGAGTGTCCAATGTTTTTCTCTAAGATTTTTTATATCATTTTGAAGCACTGAACAGTTGGGTTCAATCTATATGCGATAACCATGGACTATTTTTAACAACTATCGAACCTTTTCTTTTCTTGAAAAATCTTTACCTGTAATTTTTATTGTTAATCGTTGATCAACAACACAATTTGATGAATTTAATCGTCCATGAATAAGATGTCGACTATGTATATACGATAAACCATTAAGTATATCTATTGCAAAGGAAAATCTATAATAAAACAAAAAGTTTTTTTTTTTTGTTTTTTCTTCTAATTTCATATCTTTATCTACCGAAATGACCATGTTATTGGTATTTTATCATTTTGTAAAACATCACGTAATGAACCTTTTGGCATATATTCCATATAAATAATAACTTCATTAGGAAATAATGAAGCACCCATAAATTTACAAACATTATTATGATTAAATGTTCGTACAAGACGAACTTGTTCACGTACACGACGTGTTAATTGAAAATGTTTATGTTTATATTTACGAATAGCTACACAAGTATGTCGTCTTTTAAAATAACAAACAAAAACAAAAAAGCAGAACAGATAATTTTCTCCTTTGTTTTAGTCAAATTAAAACTCACAAATAACCAGCAGGACAAAAAATTTGTTGTGTACAACTAATATTTGAAAAATTTGTAGCAACACTTAAATTAGTTTCACTTGTTTGTCTACCAATACTTGTCTTTTTTAGATCGTTTAATGATGTTAAACTAATTGATTGTTGTGAACGAAGTGCTAGAAGCAAGAAAATATTATTTTTCTTTTTTTAAATATTTTGTTCAAAAATACAATATATTAAAATGATGAAAAGAAAATGATAGTAATCGAAAAAGAGAAAATATATACATTGGCTAATAAAATTATTCAATAAGATCTATTTTCATTTTTTTTTTCAGCTAGTATGAATGTTAATAAGAGTCTAAATAGTGATTTGTATGGAAAATTTTATTACTAACAAGAATTTTTCAAAAAAAGAAAATGATTGTTAGTTTTCTAAGAATAGAATATCTGGAAAAAAAAACCAAAGTTCAAATTTTTTGTTTCCTGAAACTTATAATTAGAATTCTGTCTGAATTATCTAGAATGATAAATCAAACAATTCTCTACAAAATGAAATGTCTTTCAGCTCTCTACGACATATTTGACCGTGATATATCAGTAATACGGAAGGCACAACTGTCGCGTCCTCTACTATTTCCTTATAGAAACGTCATTTGTGTGCGTTTCGTAGTATTGATGTATGTCAGTCAAAAAATCTTGTAGACAGCTGAAAGAGATTTCATTGTGTAGAGAATTATTTGCACTATCATTCTAGATAACTAAAATAGTATTATAATTTTGTTCCAATTCGACGAGCTGAAAAAAATTGATATTTGCTTTTTCAGAGATCGTATCCTTAAGCAACTAGCGTTCATTTTCATCCTCGGAAGTTTTTACTTGAAATAAAATTTCCTATACAAATCACTATTTGGATTCTCATTAGCATTTACGGCTATGTGTAATAACAAACGGTTATAAGTGTCATTCGATGTACTTTACTCTTCTATTTTCAAGAATAGTTGTATTTGGTTATGAATGAATACCGAAGACCAGAATATAATGGATGAGTTTTAGCTCATAAAAATACAGCAATAAGAGATTTTTTGTTAGTTTATTCAATCTTATGTTCCTACTAGTCGATTTGTCTAGTGTAGCCTATATATCGTTCTTTCTACTAATTTGATTCTTGTTCATGTTCTATACTGTTTTCTACTGTGATCGTTATCAACTATTATTCTATGTCTTACGTTGAACTTCTTTTACATCAATAATCCAACTTGGATCCCATAACAGACGTTGTTCTTGAATTTTAAAGTACTATATAATAAATAAATAAAGTATTAAAAAGTCGTTCACATATTTTGACTTACTAGAAAAAATCCGATAAATAAAGAAATAAAAAGCGCACAACCCGTTGTAATTAAACCAATATGAATAGGCTTCAAAGGACATTTACCACAATCTATTGGACAATTCGAACAATTTTCGTAATTTAAATCACAATAGTCATCTCCACAAACTAAAATTAAAAAAAAACAAAATGCTAATTTCATCATTTCTAAAAAATAAAGAAAAAACTACGTACTTGCTTTACGACTAACTTGTATATTTGTACTAACTAAAGCAATATGAATCCAATCTTCAATACCAATTTTAAAATGTGCAATAATTTCAACTACACCAAACACAGGTATAATTATAGTACTTTCATAAACTACAAATTAATCGTGAAAATTATTTTAATTCTAAATAATAACTTACTACGAGTTGAAGGTCCTGCCAAAACAAAACTATGATATATTTCACCACTTGGTGGAATCCTTGAATAAAAACAAAGTATTTATCATTAAAGATCTTCAATAACACAGAGCGAAATTGTTAAGACAATTCCTTTGGAATTAAAATGTAAAACATGATTTAGCTGCTTTTGTTAATCACATCAATATTGTTGTATTTTATACATTTTGGGACACATTTATTCACTAGAAATTTATTTACTCCTCCAGAAATGCAATAAAAAAGTAGTTCATAAATTATAATGAGCATAGACGGCAGAGTTCTTAGGCTTATGAAGCCTGAATTTAGTCTATGTTTTTTTGAAAGACACTTTCCCATAGTATCACGAAAGACTGAATAAATTTTTTTGTTTTTGGTGATGGCAAAAAAGAAAGTTTGAACTCCTTCAGTGATAATCATTATCACAAATTTCTCAGACAAGCCTAAACTTAAGTTGAATAACAACACAAGGAGTGAATGTACAGAAAAAATTTAGTAATTCATTTTTTCGACAAGTATCTTGCAAAACATGTGGAAGTTTGGCAATATTGCAATGTTAGATTGATTAAGAAATCTGGCTAAAAGTTTTTTTTTTTATGTAACTCACTACTGAGCCACATCCTACTTGTTGTACAATAGCTCATTTATCACTGAAATAGTCGTATTTGTCAGCAGATCACAAAAAAAAAGTATAAATAATAGTTTTAAATCAGTATCGGATTTAGAATTTTAGAAAGAAATGGAACCGTTTTATGAAGAATACATTTAATGCACTTATTCAAAGTAATCTAAGCTTAACTTTCATTTTTCTTTACTTGGACAAATCGAAAAAATTTCTTGAAGGCAAAAGACCATCGTTTTCTTATATTTAATAATTTTTTTTAGATCATCTTTCACAAAATATAGTTTACCAAGGTCCACAATATGGAACAGTACGTCCAAGTGCACATGCATGTATATTAATATGCCATACACAAGCATCAGATTCAATTCTTGGATCGGTAGGATCAACAGTAGGCTCATGTGTTGTACACCAATGATGCCATGCTTGACTACTATTCATCGTTTGATTTAATAATCTAATCAAAGAAAAATATTTTTGATTATTAAAACATGAACAATACAAACGTATATAATGGTTTAGGTAATTGATAAATTGCCCAATCGAAAAATTCAAGTGATAAATCAATTGAATATGTTACATTAAATGGAACATCTTGAGTAACTATAATATAAAAATTATAGAATTAAACTAAACATAATTAAATTTTTATTAAAAAACAAAATCATTTACCTTGTTTTGGTGGAGGTTTTATCCAATTTACATCAATGCCTGATAATATTTATATTAATTAATATGAATGAAATAAATATGCTTTACATTTACCTTTACAATTATAACCATGTTGTGCAAGTGTTTCTGTTAATGTTGATGATGCATTTGAAGGCCAACAGTGAAATCGACTATTATCCATGTTATGCCATGCCAAACATGTTACAAGAAAACTTTTCATAAAAAACTATTAAAAAACAAAAGTTATTATATTAAATTAAAACGAAATATATGAACATCTATATTACCAGAGTGAACATTCTTTTTCTTTTTTTTTGAATGAATAACAATACAAATGATGTGAGATACCATACAATTAATAATACGATTGTTTCTATGTGAACGAAAGAGATAAGTATCGTGTGATGTTTATCTTTCGTTCCATATATATATATATCATAATTGCTCATTAATTTTTTTTCTCTAATTTCTCGTGTTTGATATATCGATAAAATTTATTTAAAAAAAAACCGAATTAACACGTTCCAATCAGAAGTAAAACAAATATTCATTGTGATTTTTAGTCTGTTTTTCCTATCATCATTTTTCAAAGCTTGATCAGAGTTCGCTGTTTATAAATTTTATTGACAAATGCACATACATTGTAATAGCAGAGTTGAGCACAAGACAGTATAAGACATAAGATATAGACAAGATGGTTTCTGGAACTGTGATCAAGTTAAATGTCATATTCTTACGACTTATGTGTTCGAGAAGTTGACGTGAAAATTATAAAGTGATGATTATTTTACTAACAACAGAGTTGTTGAACATATAAATTTGCAGAATAAACGAAGTATTTGTGAGTTACAAAAAGAAAATGATAAACTTTCAAGAGGAATGATATTAAAGGTTATGTGGGCTGTTTCAGATACCTCGAACGCATCGACACTGCTAGGAAATGATATTGTATTTTTCGCTAGTATATATATTACTCAATGCAAAACCAGAACCAAATTTTCTTTTGATTGAGACTGGGGAACTCAGACCAATAACGAGTAGTTCTGCTCATCACTAGGTAGCACTTTTTCGCAGATCGAGATAGCTCTCCCGAAGTTTTAAATAGAGTACTGCAACCCGCGGGTCGGGTACCCGAACCCGACGCGGGTATCGGGTACAGTTGGTTACGGGTAGGGTACGGGTAGAGTTGGATACGGGTAGGGTAGGGTACGGATACGAAAATTTGTACCCGTCCGGTAAACCCCTCCCNNNNAGCGGTACACCGTGCAAAATGCACGGCTGCTTCGTTGTCTTTTCAATTTAAGTAGCTTGAGTTAGTAAGCGAATGTATTTAAATGAAATCAAAAGCGACAGGTGCACTTTTTAGAGAGAGTAGTTAGATTTCTCTATTTTATTTTATGACAATATATTTAGGATATTTACAAAACTTGTCTAGAATTCACAGAAAACTTATCCCAATCTGAAATAAAAATCTCAAAATTTTGACGTTCCCTTTTTCCATAATTTTTTTTTCTCACAAAAAATCAACTGTTTTCATAAAAATTCAATTTTTCTCAATAACAGTCTGTCCATATAAGCCACGGCCAATTTTCAGAGAAGCTGCTCAGTCGAGGTCGTTAGATTTTGTTCAATTCAAGGCAGATTCTACAGGAAAGAATTCTATGAATTTTGGCGCAAGCCGTTTTCAAATCTATTGATGCTTCGATATTTTATGAGCATTTTACGAAAAGGCCTAAAATGACCACATTCGTCAAGGGGGTCCTAATGCAACTATATCTCAACAATGGCTCAACCAATTGAGCTGAAATTTGATATGGATACATATCTCAGTGAGTCATGTTGATTATAAAAGTTTTGTTTCAAAATATTGAGCGATTGGGATCTTATGAACCATCCAATATGTAGAAAAAGAATGATTTTTGATAAGTTTGGTGCTTCATACCTTTTGATTAGAATACCATAGAGATCTGAAATTTATATTGTGGATGAAATATGAAAGGATGTATCTTTCATAAAAGTTTCAGCTCTCTATATCATTGAATTTGGTCAGAGGAGTGCTTTCAAAATTGGGGTTCTGATAGAAATAGAGGTTTTCAGAAGAGGCTATCTTCCAAGAAATCGATGGTTATAGGAGCTGATCTTTAGAAGTTTGAAGTGCTCTCTCTGGACTATAATCCTGTAGAAACTTAGCGTGGGATCTCCAGAATCATCTTGCACCGAAGGTCACCTTTAACAGCCTCGGGCTAGTCATATGAATCGATCCCAACATATTATTCTCATGAACAGATCATGTTAGGGAGCTACGATTTTAGCTATCAAGAGGCCTCATTGAATAATTGCTCTACTGAAAAATTCAACTTTACAACCAGCCCCTATTCCTCAGAAGATCTTTCAGAAAAATCATACATTTCAACAAAATAACGATTTTTTGCATAGATGGATTTTCTAGGAAATGGCTTCTATAGAAATCTGGGTCACGCTAAATCAAAAGCGCACACTGGGTACTACAAAGTTATGCAAAAATTAGCATGGAATTTCCAGAAATGGTCCTGAAAGATTAATTGAAAGATACCAAAAAATAAGTCCTTTCTCATAGAAAATATACTAAGTTCGCTTCGAAATTACTGCAAGACTTTCAGCANGCTCAGTCGAGGTCGTTAGATTTTGTTCAATTCAAGGCAGATTCTACAGGAAAGAATTCTATGAATTTTGGCGCAAGCCGTTTTCAAATCTATTGATGCTTCGATATTTTATGCGCATTTTACGAAAAGGCCTAAAATGACCACATTCGTCAAGGGGGTCCTAATACAACTATATCTCAACAATGGCTCAACCAATTGAGCTGAAATTTGATATGGATACATATCTCAGTGAGTCATGTTGATTATAAAAGTTTTTTTTCAAAATATTGAGCGATTGGGATCTTATGAACCTTCCAATATGTAGAAAAAGAATGATTTTTGATAAGTTTGGTGCTTCATACCTTTTGATTAGAATACCATAAAGATCTGAAATTTATATTGTGGATGAAATGTGAAAGGATGTATCTTTCCTAAAAGTTTCAGCTCTCTATATCATTGAATTTGGTCAGAGGAGTGCTTTCAAAATTGGGGTTCTGATAGAAATAGAGGTTTTCAGAAGAGGCTATCTCCCAAGAAATCGATGGTTATAGGAGCTGATCTTTAGAAGTTTGAAGTACTCTCTCTGGACTATAATCCTGTAGAAACTTAGCGTGGGATCTCCAGAATCATCTTGCACCGAAGGTCACCTTTAACAGCCTCGGGCTAGTCATATGAGTCGATCCCAACATATTATTCTCATGAACAGATCATGTTTGGGAGCTACGATTTTAGCTATCAAGAGACCTCATTGAATACTTGCTCTGCTGAAAAATTCAACTTTACAACCAGCCCCTATCCCTCAGAAGATCTTTCAGAAAAATCATACATTTCAACAAAATCACGGTTTTTTTCATAGATGGATTTTCTAGGAAATGGCTTCTATAGAAATCTGGGTCACGCTAAATCAAAAGCGCACACTGGGTACTACAAAGTTATGCAAAAATTAGCTTGGCATTTCCAGAAATGGTCCTGAAAGATTAATTGAAAGATACCAAAAAATAAGCCCTTTCTCATAGAAAATATACTAAGTTCGCTTCGAAATTACTGCAAGACTTTCAGCATGTGAGATAAATTCTACCTAGTAAAAATCAGCATTTGATCCTCTATTATCCTCCACACAAATATCCTTTAGGAAGGAAAAAACAAATATCCCAAAAATCTCCGTAGAAGGGGTACAGAGATCTGTAGACACAGATTCTTAATAAAGAGACCTGGAGGAAGGTACAGAGATTTTTCGAAGAAAATTCGTTTCATTTTTAATGGCTATTATTATGGAGGATAATAGAAGATCAAATGATGATTTTTACTGCGTAGAATTTATCGCATATGGTAAAACTCTTGGAGTAATTTCATGGAAACTTGGTACATTTCCTATAGAAAAGGGCTCATTTTTTGGCATTTTTCAATCAATCTCCCAGGACCATGTCTAGACACCCCACGCTAATTTTTCTGTAGAGTTGTAGCCCAAAGAGACTACTTCAAACTTCTAAAGATCAACTCCTATAACCGTCCATTTCCTCGGAGATCGCTCGTTCTGAAAATCTCTATTTCTATCAGAACCCCAATTTTGAAAGTACTTCTCTGACCAAATTGAACGATATAGAGAGCTAAAACTTCTAGAAAAGATACATCCTTTCATATTCCATCCACAATATAAATTTCAGATCTCTATAGTATTCTAATCAAAAGTTATGAAGCACCAAACTTACCAAAAATCATTCTTTTTCTACATATTGGATGGTTCATAAAATCCCAACCGCTCAATATTTTGAAAAAAAACTTTTATAGTCAACAGGACTCACTGAGATATGTATCCATATCAAATTTCAGCTCAATTGGTTGAGCCATTGTTGAGATATGGTCGCATTCGGACCCCCCTTGGTGAATGTGGTCATTTTAGGTCTTTTCGTAAAATGCTCATAAAATATTGAAGCCTCAATACATTTGAAAACAGCTTCCGCGCAAAATTCTTAGAACTCTTTCCTCTACAATATGTCTTAAATTGAACATAGTCTGACGACCTCAATTGAGTAAGTTCGCCCATGACTTACATGGACCAACTCATAGAGCTGTTTTTGCATTCCAAAATACATTTTCTGAAAAATTTCTTTTTTGATAAAAATTTTTTATGAAAATAAGTCAAGTTGATAATTTTGAAATTCGTATTTCTGATTGGGATTCTCCCATATATAGATGATTGTTATTGTTTTCAAATAAATTGAATTTATTCTAAAAAAGAATAGTTTTCATTAATTTTATTAGTGATTAAACGTGGAATATCGCTTTGATAAATTCATTTCCTTATTATCATTCAATAAAAGATGTGAGGATGAAAAAAAAACCAGAAAGAACTCTTACCTGCGAATTCCACACTACACACATTTTATCTGTTCGATAAAATTTTTAATCTTATATTACACATTTGTTTTTTAGATTGTTTTTTAGAAATGGTTTCACCTTCATCTCTTGATCAAGAATGGCGATTTGATAAATTTCATGGTGGACCTTTTAAACGTATATCTGCAGAATTTTTAAGAAGTTCTTGTAAAAATCGTATTTAAAAAGTTTTTTTTTTTGTTTTCTTAGTCAAGCTTTTTATATTGATGATCATCATCATCATCATGTCCCTTAGGCTTAGCGCCCGTTGGGGCCAACCATTTACGGGATCAGATTTTTCCATGCCCGTCGATCTTGCGCAAGGTGGAACAGGTCATGTCCACTGCGTTGACACCATTCTGTTATGTCATCCAGCCATTCTCTGCATGGACGCCCCTTTCGAGATTTTCCGTCCATTTTACCAAATATTAGATGTTTTATTAATCTACTGTCGTCCATTCTGCAGATGTGGCCAAATAACCTTAGTTTTCTCTTCTTGATGATGTCTATTATGGTCTCTTCCTTTGATATCTTTTTCCTGATATCNAAAGCAACTCTTCCTCCATATCCACCCAGACCCACACACCCCACACTCACAGCCACCCACTCCTCAATATCCACCCAGACCCACACACCCCACACCCACACCCACACCCTTTTTTAATGATGCATAATGACTTCTGAAAAATGTTATCAATTAAGTATTTAAGCAGCTAATATCACATATAGAATAAATTTTTCTAGTTAAAAGTAAGAAAGGAGAAAAGAAACTGACTAAAAATTACAGAAGAATGACAAAGACATTTCTCATGTAAATTGACAGCTCAATGGTGCCTGTGCGTACAATGACATCATTTGGTGAATTTTAGAGATATTTTTATGAACTATTACTAGCTCAGGATGATTTGATGGGAGAACTGCTTCAAGAATTTCACGTGCTTTTTCGAGATGTTTTAATGCGGTGGGAAATTTCTTCATCATACAGTTTAGCATAGCAAGATTCACGTAGAATTTACCGAAGTCAGGATGTTGTGGCGGAAGAGTTGCTTTGTAAATGTTGAAAGTCTTTGTAAAACAATTTTTTGTCTCTGAATAGTTTTTCATTTTCATATGAATAGTTCCCATATTGAAATAGGTTCGACCAATTTCGGGATGAGTAGATGGAAGATGTGCTTCTTGAATACGAAGTACCTTGTAAATGTGTTCTAATGCAATATATTCATATTCCTGCCCTAAATATAGTTCAACGCCTGCCATATTATTGTAAATGCAAGCCAGATCTGGATGTGTCGAGATAAAAACTGTTTCTAGAATATGAAGGGCTTTCGTATAATAATGTAATGCGTTGAAGAATTCTTCTTTAGCTTGGCAAATTATACCAAAACTGTTGTAAGTTCGAGCAAAGTCGGGATGGGTAGCTGGAAGAGATGTTTTTTGAATTTCTTGCGCTCTTTCAAGATATTCTATTGCAGTAGAAAAATCTCCCATCAACTTATAAAGCATAGCCGCATTGATATAAAATACAGCTAGTTTAGGATCATCTAATGAAGATATTTTTTTTTGAATCTCGATTGCCTTTAAATAATACTGAAGTGCCTTGTCATAGTTGCCCCACGTTTTATATAATTGGGCAATATTATTATGAATGATAGCCAGGTCTGAATACTTAGATGAAGAAGCTGTTTCGAAAATTTCAAGTGCTCTTTGATAGTATTCGATTGCCGTTTGATATTGTCCGATCCAATGGTTTGTGGTTGCAAGATTATTCAATGTACCAGCCATGAATAAATGAGTTGGTGGAAGTGATTTTTTCTGAACTTTCAACGCTTTTTCAAAGTATAACAATGCAACTTCACGCTCTCCTGTTATGTTATTGATCATACCGATGTTATTATAGATAAAAGCCAAATCAGGATGGGTTGGCGGAAGTGATAGTTCAAGAATATTGAGAGACTTTTGAAAGTATTTCAATGCAATAGAATGGCATCCCGCTGAAGTATTGATCACAGCAATATTATTATACATAGAACCAAGATCAAGCGAACTGCATGTAAGAGATCCTTCTCGAATTTCGGCGATTATTTCATAAAATTCAGATGCTGTCGAACAGTTTCCCATTGAGTGGTGGACTGAGGCCATGTTGTTGTAAACGTCAGTCAGATCAAAATCCCTGCAATCAATTGGCAACGGACACATGTCAAGTATCTGTTGATAATATGAAAGTGCAGTAGAATAAGCACTTTTGGCATACTCAATTCCTCCTAACAGGTTGTAGAGATAGAGACGTGACGAAACATCATTATCAGATGTTGCTGTTAAGACTTTTTCATAGATTTTTTTGGCAGTGTCATATTCACCCATGCGAACAAGTAGATGGCCGAGTGATTTGTTTGCCGAGCAGTTTTGAATTTGCTGACGAATACATTCGGTAACTTGCTTGAGTTGTTCATCGTTATCATCCGTCAATGTTAAATTCACTTGCCATACTCGTTGCTTGATACTCGTGATATTGCCAACACGAAAGATCGTATGCATAGAAAATAAAATTTCCTTTTCTGTTATAAACTGACTTAGTTCTTCCAAACAAGCAAATGGAGAGGATGACATCGAAGGATTGATTTCGATTTGAAAGAGAATTCCAAAGGAATTCTCTTGTAAACTCGAGCTTTCTGCAAATAGAAGTGATACATCTTTGTCAATACTAGTCGATAGAAAGTTATTAAATGATAAAAGACCACATTGGTTCTTTTGCAACTTTTCGAAGTCATTTTTTATCAGAGCTTGACCACGATAAACGAGCATTTTTTCTCGAGTTTGTTCTTCATGTAATCGCTCAATTTCTCGATGAAGATCTTGAATAAAGAAACCCATACGAACAATAATTTCGGTATTTTGAGTTCATAGAACTCGATTGAGCGGTTCGTAGATGAATAACTCTTTAGTATACCACCAAATTGGTGATTTATCAAAATAATTTTGGTCGAATATATTTACAGATTTCAAATCTAGTGACTTGTTAGCATATTCTGCACGAAGGTGTTCAATAAATTCTGATTTCGCTGATTTATCATAATGAATCTTCAGTAAACTATCTTTCAATAATTGTGAATACATAAACAATGGATCAAGTTCATTTATATTGTTCACAGTCGATGGGGATACAATACTAATCGACATTAAATCATATTCGGACTTTCGAATGCTCCGTTTGAAATGATAAAATATCTCATCCAGACTTGAGAATGAGCCTTTGATTTTTGTCCACTTGTTTATTGGTAATGTATCCGCATTTTCGTTATCACGAAGGATATACATAAATTTAAGCTGAGGTAAATCGTAAATCAATGGTAACAGAGTCTTGGCGACAGATATGCAAAGAATCAAACAGACGTTTTCATCAAAAAGATCCGTAACAAAATCAACGCATCTATTCGTACAATTAAATAGTTGAATATCATTAGCGACATGGCAGTATTGCTTCATTAAATTTGTGTTCATTTTTTGGTATTCATTCGTATCTGTTTGCAAGAAAATGACAATCCATTTTCCCAGAATATCATACTTCTTTATTTGGATATTTTGGAAATTTGTCAAGATATTTTCTGAAGAAATAGGATAGACATCAAGTTCACTTGAAAGTGTTGTCATTCCTAGTAATAAATGTAGACAATCTATAAAATGGACAAAATAAAAGAAATTGATTAATGGAAAAAATGATTATTAAATCTAGAAAAAGATGCTGAAATTAAAAATAAAGGAATGACGAAATATTTAGCTTCATATGAATCATTCTTATCACCTGAATAAATATTGCTTTAATCGTAGAACGTATCACATTTACACTGACAAAGATAAAAAACTATATGTTATCTACCTGGAAAAAAAGGGCCATGAAGTAACACAAGTCGAAACAAAGAATGGCAAGAAGGGTGTGGGTATGGGATGCGGACACCAACACCCGGATTATTAGTGTCGCATATTGTAAACGAAATATACGGAATATCATAACACATCAACTATACATAGATGGACAAAAATTCTTTTCAGAATTCAATGGATTAATTGTCAGTGCTACTCAAACAACTAGAACCAAGTTTGAAAAAAATTTCATCATTTGAGCTTCATGGCAATGACCGCCTTCCCAAAATGTCCACTGTCTATATAATCAAAGTTTTTCATCAAGAGTAGTTGCCATTGTCAATCCTAAATCTACGAACACATCTTGAGAAAGGGTGTGGGTGCGGGTGTTGGGTGTGGGTGTGAATCGGTGGGGGTCGGGTGTGGGTGTTAGTGGATGTGATTGCTTCATCCACAACCACGCCGACACCCAATCCTCACGTCGACACCCACACCCACACCCACGCCGACACCCAATCCTCACGTCGACACCCACACCCACACCCACGCCGACACCCAATCCTCACGTCGACACCCACACCCACACCCACACCCACACCCACACCCACACCCACACCCACACCCACACCCACACCCATCGTACATATATACATATATACCTTTAATTCCTAGTGGATAGTTTGACACACGATCAACAATGGAAACAATAGATGATCATTATCTTTTTTATGTAAATGAAATAGAATTAAGAATATACATAACATCTGAAAGATCAACTGTTACTTGCTCTTCTCCTTTATTTCAACAAATCAAATATCTCAGATTAGAATTGCCAATAATTCCTTCATCATTGTTGAATAGTCTTCTAGATATTGGTAGGAATAATATGTGTTTATTTTAATTTTATTTAGTCAGAATAATTTGCTTTTTTTACAAATCACTGAGTTTGTTCGTATTATGTTTAATATGGGCGTAGGTGTCGTGAGTGTGGATGTGGGTGTGGGAGGTGTAAGTGTGGATGCGTATGGATGAAAGATCCACACGTACACCCATCGACAGCCACAGCCATACCCACACCCACGCTCACACCCACACCCCACACCCACACACCCTTGTTATTTTGCATTGTATATTTCGAAAGATCTTATAACATTTATATAGAATATTGCAGAGGAAGCAGTGAGATGTCATTTGAAAGAGCAAATGATGCTCTTTAAAATGCGCCAGTTTTTTCGTATTTCATGTGTCATTTCATGAGTGAAGTTATTAAAAATAATGAACACTGTATCTAATTACAAGTGAGCATACTCTGAAAATCATCCTAAAACCTCACCAAATTTGTTGCTTTCCAAATGATAATAATAGAGTTTTGTTCAGTTTTTTACGCTCTTTCGAATGGTAGAGTTGGAATTTGAAAACAAAATTAAAATTTTATTAAGTAATTGCTAATTATTATTAACTACTAATTAATTATTAATTAATTAATTAACCACAATATAAGTATAATTACCTTTTACCAAAATGTAGCCTATTAAATTTTGCATCGAATGGCATATAGAACAACTTTCAGATGTTGTAAAATAACGTAAAAATTAGCCAAACACTAAAAATGTGCTCTACTTTTCCCCTGCATTTTACTACAGTGTTTAGTATTTTAACTATAACATTGCCATTACTCAATGAAAATCAAAAAGTTTTTTTACCAAAATGATCAGCGTAAAAAGCTCTACAGAAATAAATATAAGAGAAAATTTTCAGAATATCCTTGCTATTCGTTTATGTGTAGAAATAAAAAAGTACAGGCTTTTTTCGGCCCTCACTGTATCGTGTTCAACCGCTGTTGCTGATGGCGACAATGCATTATTGTATTAATTCGAATGAATTGTGATCAAACATACCGTTCCGCAACCGGTTGAAGTTGACTTATATGAGCCAACGTAGTTTTTCCAGTTTGACTATCTTCGACCAAATAGTTTTGTTCACCTGCTTTCTTGATCACACGGCAAGGTCCTATCCATCGTTCGTCTAATTTGGTGCGATTAGCACATACCTTAAGAAACACTAAGTCACCAATAGAGTAAGAAATATCCTTGCGATGTTTGTCATATCGCTGTTTTGTTAATTGTTGTTGGCGACGTATGTTTTCTTGAGCTTGTTTGATAATTATTCGCCGTGTTTTTTGTAAATATTTGTAAAACTCGTCTGCTCGAGTTAAAGTCAGGCTCTTTGATGTAGGATCGAATGGGCTCTTCTGTTTTCGTCCAAAAGCAAGTTCATACGGGACAAAGCCAGTTGTAGCATGAATGCCGGTATTGTAGGCATAAATCACTGATTGAACATAATCGTCCCAATCATCTTTATTCTCATCGTAGTACTTTGCCAATTGTGTACAGAATGTGGCGTTAAATCGCTCGATTTGACCATTCGTTTGAGGATGGTACGAAGCTGAAAATACATGAGTAAAATACATTGTTGTGGTAATAGTCTTTAGTAATGTATTGTTAAAATGTACACCATTGTCCGTGATGAGTCGTTCAGGTGCGCCATGTATCATAATGAATTCTGCAGCGTCTTCGGCAGTATTATTTGGCATCGCTTTTGCTATTACATAGTTGGATAAATTGTCCGTAAGTACTAATTCGTGTTCCACACAACTGAATGAAACACATCATATATCCTACAACTCAAATCTGAACTGTGCTTCTTGCTAAATTTCATGAAAGATTATTCACATTGAAATTTTCCAGTCCTACACACATACATGTAAATAAAGTGCTTTACTGCTATTCTTAACATCTTTAAATGCAGTACATTTCTTTGAAACTCAAAGGCTATGAATTCATCCATTATTCTGGAGAAAAGTATCATGGGATGATCTGTCAAAAACAGAACTTTCGTACTAATATGATTGAATTAAACCAACGCTTCGGTGTTCTCACAACTTAGTTCGACGATTTTTGTTATTGTTCAGAAATTTTCGCTTTTATTTACAGCTATTACTATTTCTAGATCCTATAATTACAGCTTGAGTGTGACCTTGATATCAAAGTTAAAATTGCAACATATTTTTTGAAAGACATATAATCTGTTGACACTGTTGCGTAACTGGAAGATCTGTAGTAGTTCAAAGCAATCCTACATTTTCAATTGGCCAGTCCTAAAACCAAAACCAATATCGATCCGCCTGAAAATTCAACCGAATTCTTGTTTCTTAGGAATGGAATCTAAAAGAACGGGAATCCTGACGCTTCTATCCCCACTATCACGCCTACTTCGTCTCACCCACATTCCAATCCTATTCTCACCTCACCCACATCCACATCCATACCTTCTGGACGGATTGAAAAAGTTTTGCGACGAACAATATAATGGTGAAAAGTCAGTGACTTTCGAGAACATAAATCGCTGGACCACTATGTGTCAATCTCAGATTGCTATTCGGACTTATCGTAGTTGATTTCCAATAACCACTAGAATTGATGAAAGAAGGATTGGATACTCAAGAGCTATCTATCGTGAGTGCTCAAATATATAGAAAAAAATACATTCAAGACTCTTTGGAATCGATGAGAGTTCTTTGTCAGAACTGATCCGTTCGTACCTTGGTTGTACCTATTATATACATTTTGGATATTTTTCCATTGAAGAAAGGTATATTTTCTCTATTCCAGACCTATTCCTAAATCTCTATCGTATCCTTCGTATTCTCTTCATATCGTCCAAATCTTAATGTATCCTGTATACCCTGCCATATTCGGAATACCGAGAATCCACTTGTGTGGGTCTCACACATAGCTTGCAATAGAAATTTGAAACAAAACGTTTTTGTTCACTTGAATCCTATAAACAGAGTGCATACTGATACATTATTTTCGCTAACAAAATGTATCAAAGTGTACGAAAATCATGTTTTTGTGATACTAGATACTAGAAAGTAATATTCATATTTTTTTCTTTAATGAGCCATATAAATTGATACTTAAGAAATGACCAAACGGGGAGCATACATACAACTTATCATCTGAAGCGTTAATGACACAATAGGAGAAGAGAACAAATACAAACTTCTATAACTGATGTGAGCTATACATTATGCTTAGATATTAGCAGTAATATTACTGAAATATTAACTTTTATTTAATAGTACCAGCAGCACTTCAAGTTCTAAACACAAAATGTAGATTCATCCAGAAAAGTGTACGACGTACACTTTGCTTTTCTGCACCACGTGCAAAACAGCCTGTCCTTCAGGAACAACAGCTGTTCTGTACATTTTGTTTCTGCTTGGTACACTTGCTATTGTAAGCTCTGGTCTACACTACATAGAAACAGGCAAATAAGAAAAAAATCTTTTAATTAAAATAATTCATAACCATTATAATGAAACATGAGATGCGTAAAGATATCATTGATTGAATGCTACTGTTGTCAATAAGATCATTATCTACCGTCGTTTTTCTTCCGCTGCGTCGCATCCCATCCGTGATGACAATCATTCATTTACTGTAACCATTTTCCTTCCCTATTTTCTTTTATGCGCAGTCCATGTGGTGGCTTTTTAATTCTACCAGACGAATTCAATGACCTGGTGTTGTACATTGCGCTACATAAGGAGACATTTGACCTCAATATATGTCTCTATCACTCTTGTTGGCATCCCGCGAACGATGTGTATACATGCATGATTGCTCGATTATTGATAATCTAGTCGGTCATACTATTCCAGCAGGATTCTTGAGTATCTCTGGTCGTGGGTACACGAATAGGGTTATGCAATAATAAAACCAATCGGATCACATATGAGCAAGTATAGAACGAAATTTATTTGTTTAAACAAAAATAATCTACATTTTCTCTTTCACAAGTTCAATATTTCGTTTTGACAGTGCGATATACCGATGTGTTGGAGGAAGAGCTTTTTGCCAGATATCGAATGCTTTGTCATAAAATGAAAGTGCTTTCGAATACTCACCCATGTTATCATACACCAAGCCGATATTGTTGTAGGATTGAGCACAATCTGGATGATTTTTACCAAGAGTGTTTTGTCGTATTTGAAGTGCTCGTTCGTGAAAGGACAATGCCTTAGAGTATTCGTTCATGCTACCGTACGCCAAACCGATGTTGTTACAGCAAACTGCTACCAAGGGATGGTTCGGAGGGAGAGTTTGTTGCCAAATATCGAGTGCTTTTTCGTAAAATGAAAGTGCTGTCGAATACTCGCCCATGTTACCGTACACTAAACCAATGTTGTTGTAGGATTGAGCACAATCTGGATGATTTTGAGGTAAAACTTTTAGTCGTATTTGAATCGCTCGTTCATAAAATGACAGAGCATCGGAATACTGACCGACGTTATCATATGCCAAACCAATGTTGTTGCAGCAAACAGCTAACAAGGGATGATTCGGAGGGAGACTTTTCTGCCAAATATCGAGTGCTTTGCCGTACGATAAAATTGCCTTAGAATACTCACCCATGTTTCCATATACCAAACCAATGTTGTTGTAGGACTGCGCGAGATCTGGATGATTTTCAGGAAGAATGTTTTGTCTAATTTCAAGTGTTCGTTCGTAAAATGATAGTGCTTTCGAATACTGGCCCATGTTATCATTCACCAAACCGAGGTTATTATAGGAATTAGCCAAATCTGGATGGTTCGGAGGGAGAGTTTTTTGCCAGATACCGAGTGCTTTTTCGTGAAATTCAACCGCCAGATTGTAGTCTCCTTGCTCATACTTGATTAGTCCAAGCTGGTTACAGCCGTATGCTCTATCGCTCTCATTGGATGCTTGATGGAGCAACATCCTGTACACTTGTTCCGCCTTATCATCCTCGCGGAGTTTCCACAATAGAGAGCCCATACGTTGCCAACCTGTTCCTGTTATCTCCTCTCGCATTCGTTTTGTAAGAGTATTGAGCTGCTGGTCATCACTGTCAGTAGTGAGCGTGAGTTTCACTTGCCACAACATCAATTCACCATCTTTAATTTCTTTAATTTGTTGAACGCGAAAAACTGTGTTCATTGAGAAGAGAATTTCGTTTTCTGTCTGAAAATAACTAATTTGGTCGATGCGAGCAAACGGAGCAGATGAAATCGATCGATCAATTGTCATTGTGAAGAGAACACCGATTTTGTTGTTGTTGTTGCTAAATTTAAGCCCTTCTCGAATAAAACGAATGGCAATATTTCGATCGTCACTTGTTGATAGGAAGTTATTGAACGATATGAGTCCATCTTGCTTGATTTTGCTTTCAAAATCTTTCTTGATCATGGTTTTACCTCGGTAGACTATGATTGTTGCTGTTTGACTAGACATTTTATTTGATTGTGCGGTATGAAGTTTCTCGATATTTTGATGGAGATCACGAATGAAAATGCCCATTTTCAACAAGGTTTCGATATGCAGAATACCCAGAGCTTTGTTGAGCATGTGATACGTGAAACATTCGCGGCTATACCACCATATGGGCTTGTTATCATCGTTGACATTGCCTCGATAGTTTCGGGCAAACTCATTGATAATTTCTAAGTCTTCAACGTTACCAGAATACTTTTCACTAGCATACTCGACTAAATCGTTGATTTCTTTCCTGCCATCGAAATCGATTTCAAGAATAATTTCTTTGAAGAGCTGCGTGTACATGAACGATGGTTCGATTTGATTCAATGATGAAAGACCACTAATCACAACCGAATCTTCGTCACACTGTCTAGCACATTGTCGAACTGAGTCACAAATCGAATTAATTTCTGTGAAAATACCTTTCACTTTGAACCAACTGAGCGCCCATTCTTCATATTTTGATTGTTTTCGACAAAATATATAAATTGAATACACCTGAGCTACATCATGAATACGTGGCACAACACTTTCACATAGAGCACCAGAAACAATGAGAAATGACTTTTCATTTTGAAGTTGTGATATGTATCCGATGCATTCATCTACATCTCGGAATATCTCAATGGTATTAACAGTCCGTCGTAACTGTTTGATAGAATTACGATAATCGTCGATGAATTCATCGATTTTTCCATCGAGCCAAATTAACAAAAAATTTTGCACCATGTCTTGTGCATTTGTGTGACGATCTCGTTTTGTAATGGTAGAATTTGATAGTATGTGTGCAGCAGTGGGTGACGAAGATGACTTTACTGACTTTGATGGAGAAGGGTTGAGAGAAGTAACTGTTGGCTTCGATGCAGCGCAACCCATATTATACGTTTTGAGGAGCGTTCTGGTGCTGTCAAAATAAAATCTTTAATGAGTGCGTGACTGCTGTTCAATTATGAAGCTCATTTGTATGTATTAAGACGAAAATTTGACAATTCTTCTTTCTCAGTCGTAGATATAGTGTTTATTTGTACTCAATGGCGTTGCCTGGCTTCAATTGCTGCCAGCTTTCTCTTATCGATGTATTGACATGAATTCAGCGCCGAAGCGTTATTGCATTGAATGAGCAAGTGCCTCACAGAAAAGAAAATCTACCACTTTCTCTTCCAACCATATAATTCAACAGCTTCTCTCTCTTCCCTACTGTTTCGTTCTACATGCACATAATAACATTTTTTCTCGATCAAGCCATCCGTTGTAATGCTACAGGACAAGAACGAATATTCACTTGCTAGCATGAAATTGTTAACAAAATTTCATGATTTTTCAAGGACTAATAGAGCAAAATATTTGGACGGCAATTTTTTGATAGAAAAATACACTAGTAGCGAACAAGGTGCTTCAATCCAAAAAAAGGAGTCGATGCAATCGAAGTTCCAGCAATGATCCGCTAAATGAATATGATGTGGGTGTAGTGTTGTTGCTTTCTCTTCAACAATACTGTTTGTTATGAATAGTTATCTTCGAATGATAATAAGAACAATAAACACATGAACACTAGTTGGATGCAGTAGATATGGAGAAATTCGTTCGTCACCATAGAGAAATTGTTTCTTCCTTTCGTTGACATCTTTTTTACTGGTTGTTTTGAAAGTGCGTTTTCTTTTGCCACTGTATGATTTCTTATAATGCATTTCAACAGTGCTCGCGAAGTGAATCAGCATCAACAAGTCATAGCGAAATAAATGCATTGTTTCCTCGACTGAATGAAGGGCCATATGAAATAAAATGCATTTCTGAGTATGTTTGCTAGCACGTGTGAAGTGATGCGTTCAGAAGTACTCGTATAACTATGCTATATGAAATTTGACCAAAGATTTTCTGGATTAAGGAATCATCTAAATCTGTAGTTAGTTTCCCGAAATTTTGAATTCAATTTCTTTTATAAGAGAGAAGCCTTTTTACGAAAATAGTGTTTCTTTGATAATGGTTGACGAAAGTAAATCGGAATCCGGAAATCCAAGTCTTTAGTCGATTCTTGAAAATGTCGAGCTCTAGTTTATAATAAGGGGAAGAGTTTTTAGGAAAGCAATGGACTTTCGCTGAACTTAACATTGGATGGTATGAAATAAAATGAGTTTATAGTCTGATAGTCATTGAGAGAATAGCACACTCAAATGTGTTAGCGTAGTTACAGACTCGATAATCTCAGTAACGCCAAATATGTATGGGTTTCTCCAGAGTGTGGGTGTGAGGCAGTTCAAAATCAACACACTCAGATAGATGCCACACTCACCATCAAAAGCACCTCTAACACTCAAATTCAAGTTTTAGTCAATTCGACGTTGTCGGTATCTAAGTCTACTCGCATCGCATGTACTTTGGCTTAGTATGCCATTATTCGCATTTTTTCAGCAAAAGTTCACACTAATGAAATTCCTCAGCACTTTGACTCGAAGAAGGTAATATAAACAAACATATGAAAATGAGCTTACACTTTTTATGATTAATACAGAATAGCCAGCTATTGATTAAGCATGTTCAAGTAATGGAGCGACTAACCGTGGATGACGCCGACGAACGACTAGTCGCTTCAGGAGAGGTATATATAAAAGCTAGGTTTTTTGAGAATACTGCGCTAGTATTTCCTTAATGAGGAATTTCAATAAAACTCTGATTGGTTAGCTGGACGATGAAATTAAAGATATAAGCGATGATTCATAAGAAAATTTTGGTTTTGGAATTTCCCATCGATAATTTTCATGTGTGGAATAGAATCAAGCATGGAAGCTGCTAGTCATTGTTCTGGAAAATTCACTGAAGGAACGCTTCAGGCCGTTGCAATCTGTCGGGAAAATGTCTGCGGTCAAGATCTGGCCGGTTTCAATAGGAATCAGATTTGGTAAAAGAAACAAAGGAGCATTTTCGAATGAAGTGTGAGAACAGTTGTGCTGCACGTGCACAATATCTGAATAGAACATTTGACAGAAAACATCGCATAAAGAATTTAGACACACTCCATTCGAAGTAGATTTGCATGAAACAAAGTGATTTTTTTCTGTTGTTATGTGTCCTTGTCTGTGAGCACTCGCGTGTCTACATTGATTTGGATGTATTCAAACTAACTGTCTTATCCGATGACTACTTTGAGTAGAAATGTCACTCAAATGGCGTACTCCAGCAATAGGTCTAATCAAATATGATTTATTTTAATCTAAAAGTTCAGCTAAACTCTTATGTTTGGTTAATGTGCTATTACCTATACGGATTTTTATTAGTTTTCAAGGAGTATGGTGTGTTTCCATACTAGTATCGCAGATGTGCTTTGTTTGTTGATCCTCTCCGTAGCCTAAATATAATCTCTTTTCTCGAAGCATGTGGACACTGCTGTCAAAGTGTAATTGATTTAGATTTTCGTTGGATATTATTTTGTGGGCATCAGTTTGATTGAATGAATTTAGAACAAAAAGTATGACAGGGACATGCATACCATCCACTGAAAGAAAAAGTACCAAACGAAATCTGGATGTGGGTGTGGGTGTCGGTGGGTGAGTGTGGGTGTGGGGTGTGGGTGTAATTAATTTAGTACTTTGCACCCGCTTCCACACCCACGATGTTTTAAAAATGTATCTTGAACTGTATTAGCTATTTGCTCTAATTTTGTTTCATTTACAGATGATAAGAATATTTTATCAAAAAAAAAAAAAAAAAGAAAAAAAAAATATATATATATATGAGTAAACATTTAGACATGTAACGAACCCAAACTCAATTTCGAGTTTCGATACCAAAGTTTATAGAATTGAGCTCGACTCGAAGTCGAACATAAAAACTAGATTGAGTTTGTACTCGAACTTCAATGTTCGGGTATGAGTTCGAGTCGAGTTCGAGTTGGGTTTGAGTTCTTATGTTCGAGTTCAAACTCAATCGAGATTCGAACTCGAGTCTAAACTTCGAGTCGAGCTCGATCGCATCCAGTTCAAACGATTTGGGTTTGGTACATGTCTATAAACATGAGATTCTCTTGAATTCGAATGACTACTATAAGTTTTTTTTATTACTTCATCTTGTATCTGCCATCAATTCATCCATTAACATAGAAGTATCTGCAGTAAATGGCCGAATAGGTGGAGATACAGTTAAATTAAAATATAAGAAATAAAATTATGGAACATAGTTATTACTTCTTTAGTACACAATTTATGTACTTCTAGAGTGGAATTACTTACATTCTGTTTCTTCTTGAACAGTATCTTCTGATGGTTTGACAAGTATTGATGATTTTTTCGATTGTTTTAATTCTTTCTTTAATCGTTCAATTTCAAGTTTAACATTTTCATTTCTATAATTAACATTAAAATCAATCAAATCATTTCTATTTTCCTATTTACGATTTTGATGATGAAATATCCTGTTAATTATCATTATCATCATCTACATCAAGTGCAACGGAGTTTTTAAGGCGGCTGACTGCACGAGGTGCGGATGTGGGTGTGGGTGTGGATGTAAGTAAGAGTGTTTGTCTTCTCTTCAGCCATACCAATTACTACACCCGTACCCACACCCACACCCTAAGTTTCTATAATGCTTATACGAGTATTCACTGCTGAAATGTTCATTTTCATTTCTAGCGCTACCGGCATTGTATGGGCTCATATTAGAAATTTCTGTAATCTGCTGTCATATTATTATTTGAAAGAACGATCAAAACGAAAGACAATAAAAGCATTTTTCTTGAGTATAGTCAAGCAAATCGAAGTTATATTCGGGCGACATGACATTTGAGAAGGAATGTGACATTAAATGGTTTCGTCGATCATACATGTGAAAGTTACTTGTAGAGAACGCTTGTTACACTAGAGGGTGTGGGTGTGGGTGTGGATGCGGGTATGGGTGTGGGTGTGGGTGTGAGTGTGGGTGGGTGTGGATGTGGGTGTTTTTCTTTTCTTGAGACACACCCACAACCACATCCACACCCACACCCACCCACCTACCCGACACCCACACCCACACCCACACCCTCACCCACACCCAC